CGACACAAGTGCGACGTATGAATCGACAGTCGCATTTCTGCCGCACTTAATTGAATTGAATTCGACACGGCAGAAATGCGACGTATGAACTGGGCCTAAAACGGAATATGGTTTTTCCTTTTCAGCTGAATATACAATGTTGTGTCCAAATGTTTCTATACCAACGGACAAGCCTCCAGGTATGTTATAACATAACGAAGACAAAAGATCGGTGGCGATACAATCAACCGGAGAAGGGCTCCTCTTGCAGGAGTGCAAAACAGAACCAGAACACAGACTAGTATGCCTGTTCTTCACACCCTACTCTAAAGGATAACTTGTCTGTATTCGTTTTGTCGTTGACCAAAAGTGGCCACATCTTTCCATTTCGACATTCAACTTACTGCATGACCCCTGCTCTCAAAGCCTTTCTTGTCTGCTTGCTTTCTTGTCGCACAATTGAGTACAAAGCCTTGTGAAAGTCATTAATGAGTTTCCGTGAAATTCTTGCATCCCTTGACTGCTTTTATTCTACTACTTCTGGCGTGAAACCATAACTATGGTGAAACTTGACAAATTTACGTTTGTTTTCGTAGTCGAGGAGTGTCAAAAGCAAGGGGATATATGCTCTAATGGGAGGTGTATAAACGTACCCAGCGGTTTCCAGTGCGTGTGTAACCAAGGCTACATACTTGGACGAGACAACATATGTCTTGGTAAGTTTGACCTACAGCAGGAATTTTCCCGCCTTTTCCTTTTTTCCCGCCAAAATTCGAAGCGGCGACGCGTTGAGGATATAGATGGTTCCTCTCCCGCCGTGAGCAGTTAAAGGAAAAGTTATATATAAGAAAAAAAGACAACATTCAAAAGGTCTATTTCTATTTAGTATCACCCAACTAGTGGACTAATGCAAATCCTGCATTTTAATTGGCTAATTAATTAATTTTAATTTTGATTTGAAATTTACGCAATCGAGCGTGACGCTGTCTTTCGTTTTATTCCCAAATAAATATTTCTTTAACTTGCATTTGCTAACTTTATTATTGCCTTTTCTGTCCGACTAGTTGGGTGATACTAAAACAATTAGAACCTTCGCCATCAAGGGCCACAGGTCAATAGCCCATTCGGCTTCGCCTCATGGGTTATTGACCCGTAGCCCTTGCGGGCTACGGGTCTAATTGTTAAGTATTTAGTTATTGCGGTAAAAGTATAAAGAACGTATACAGAAGGAGAAATCAGATCAAGACTTTCAGATTGTCTTCGGGGATGTAAAGTTCATGATTCGGACATACATTTAATAGCTTTAGAAGCAAAATTCGTTTTAGAATTAAAGGATGACAAACATTGTCAACAACCTTGAAAGTTGCATGACTTTGTTATTCTCGCAATGCAAATTAACACATCGACATCAGTTTTTATGCGTCTGTCCTCTTATTGGTGATAAATTGCGTCGTAACATTGTCAAAGTAGCTGTGGAACCGCGAGCCGCACAATTTGTTTTTTACAATAACAAGACCCCAAAATGGTCAAATGCCGGGAATAAATGAGGGGAAAAAACGCCGTAAACAAAGATAAGTGAATTTCACTCAAAATGACGTGAACGTTGTCAATAGCTTTTCTCGCTTTTTGATTGGCTACTTAAAAAAGTCCATAAAATCTCATTGGTTAAAAAGTTGACAGTTTAACAGTTGAAAGTTGAACTTGAGAGCTTGCATAAGTTAAGATTTTATCCGTCTGTACACTTATTGATGATAAAAATTAGCCAATCAGCGCGTGACAAATTAGACAGTTATTGTAAAAACCCATTGGATTAGGCCTGCCTCTCGACAGTCACCTGTAGGTCTTATATTTATTTGCGTTTCATATTTTTTAGATATAGACGAGTGTTCTGCGAACTCTCTGCTATGCAGAAATGGCCGTTGTATTAACACAGAAGGTAGTTATAGGTGTGAGTGTAATCCTGGGTACCAGATCTCCTCTGATAAAAAGAGCTGCACAACAGGTTGGTCTCTTGTCATTTTTCTATACATTTATGTATTTTATTCTCGAGTACAGACTTAAAACTAAATCTTTATAATACTGACACTAAGATCTCTCCCTTATTACCGCGACGAGCTCAGTGATGAGCGTTAAGAAGCCCACCTTTACACACCCTGCCTCTACCTTTTGTTACAAGACAGGTCACATCTTTGATCCTAATTAACTCTTAGTTTTGTTGTTGTTGTTGTTGTTGTTGTTATAGTTTACGTTGTTGCTTTTTTACAGCATATGACGGTGCATCGAGGGCCATGGAAAATGTAATTGCTTTGCTTTAAACTGTCTTCAAATTGCCTGCAACACTCAATTCAATTCTCAGAAAAACCTTGGGCTAAATTCTACACCTTGCTGTTAAATGCCGTTTAGATCAACAACCTCTGCATACCAATAACACATGGCCTTGATTCATATGAAGGCTCCGTCCATATCACGCCAGAGAAATTTGAAAACGCAGAGCTCTTTACTTCTTCGGTTGGGCCTACCGTCCACACTTATCCGTCGCTCTTCAAACCAGAAGAATTTGAAAACGCCGGCTTTGTGTTTTAGCGTGGAGTGAAAACATTTTGAAAACGAAGCTTTTCTAAAACGATGACGTCACGATAATCACGTGATTTCCCTGTCCGAGGTTCCCTCAAATACAAATCTAAAAGACCGGTGATTGTTGCGTTTTAAGTTTTCAAATTTTTCCGGCGTAGTGTGAACGGTGAAAACGCCGCCTTNTGAACTTGAGAGCTTGCATAAGTTAAGATTTTATCCGTCTGTACACTTATTGATGATAAAAATTAGCCAATCAGCGCGTGACAAATTAGACAGTTATTGTAAAAACCCATTGGATTAGGCCTGCCTCTCGACAGTCACCTGTAGGTCTTATATTTATTTGCGTTTCATATTTTTTAGATATAGACGAGTGTTCTGCGAACTCTCTGCTATGCAGAAATGGCCGTTGTATTAACACAGAAGGTAGTTATAGGTGTGAGTGTAATCCTGGGTACCAGATCTCCTCTGATAAAAAGAGCTGCACAACAGGTTGGTCTCTTGTCATTTTTCTATACATTTATGTATTTTATTCTCGAGTACAGACTTAAAACTAAATCTTTATAATACTGACACTAAGATCTCTCCCTTATTACCGCGACGAGCTCAGTGATGAGCGTTAAGAAGCCCACCTTTACACACCCTGCCTCTACCTTTTGTTACAAGACAGGTCACATCTTTGATCCTAATTAACTCTTAGTTTTGTTGTTGTTGTTGTTGTTGTTGTTATAGTTTACGTTGTTGCTTTTTTACAGCATATGACGGTGCATCGAGGGCCATGGAAAATGTAATTGCTTTTTTTTAAACTGTCTTCAAATTGCCTGCAACACTCAATTCAATTCTCAGAAAAACCGCGGGCTAAATTCTACCCCTCGCTGTTAAATGCCGTTTAGATCAACAACCTCTGCATACCAATAACACAAGGCCTTGATTCATATGAAGGCCCCGACCATATCACGCCAGAGAAATTTGAAAACGCAGAGCTCTTTACTTCTACGGTTGGGCCCACCGTCCACACTTATCCGTCGTTCTTCAAACCAGAAGAATTTGAAAACGCCGACTTTGTGTTTTAACGTGGAGTGAAAACATTTTGAAAACGAAGCTTTTCGAAAACGATGACGTCACGATAATCACGTGGTTTCCCTGACCGAGGTTCCCTCAAACACAAATCCAAAATGGCCGATGATTGTTGCGTTTTAAGTTTTCAAATTTTTCCGGCGTAGTGTGAACGGTGAAAACGCCGCCTTCAGATTTCTTTGGCGCAGTGTCGACAGGGCCTAAGTTAGGCGGACTTCGCTTAGTTTCCAAGATAAATTACTCCACACTATCTAAACGTTTTGTAGGCGTTGTAGGCGTTGACTCAGCTGTATGGCGTTAAATTATATTCTCTTCTGGTTTAGGTGTGGACCCGTGCTCTCAGTCAGGTGTCTGCGAAAACGGTGTGTGTGTCAGAACAAGAGGTAGCTTTACATGTCAGTGCCGGCGCGGATACACACTCACATCTGATAAGAGAACTTGTAAAGGTAATGAGTTTGAACGTCATTCAATGTCATACTAAGCGTAATTAGCGCTACATTGCCAGCAATCGCATTATTCGTTAATTATTGACCTTTAAATGGGCAATGGCGCGGCTGAGTACAATGGTTTTAATAGCTAGGTCGGGAGCTTGTTGTAAACTTTTTTTTTTTTGCTTTCTAGAAATTTGCTTATTAAATAGAAAGAAAAATACGTAAAGTGATGGAAGCAAAGGATTATCAACTGAAAAAGAAAAACTGATGACTTAAAGATTTAACTTTGAATTTTGACCAGAATGACAGTTTTGATTTTTTGACATCCTTTTACAAAATGAAATTTGATTTAAACTGCAGTCCACTTCCATCCTTGTAATCCTGTATTTTTTTCCCCAAAATACTTGTTTTATTGTTGCTGTGTAAATCTTTTTATTCAACTCATTTGTATCTTTGGAGGCATTTGGCAATGTGATGTGGTAATTAGAGATCTTTTGATGATCAGTGCGTCACTTTTCCTTTTACGGATTGTCGTTGATTGTCACGTGTTTTTGTTTTCCAGATATTGATGAGTGTCAGTCCCAGGGCGTCTGTGCCAACGGTCAGTGTATTAACTACGCTGGAGGATATGAATGCTCGTGTGGCCCTGGGTTCGAACCCAGTTCCGATATGCGATACTGCGTCGGTGAGCTTTTCATGAGACCTTTCAATTAAACTTAGCCTGCTTTTGTCGGGTAAAGATGAATAGGAATGAAACCAAGCTGGACAAAGTGGCAAATTGAGGGAAAAAAGTGACTGATGCAGATGAAACTGGACGTGTTTTTTACATTTCATTTCTTTTCTCTATTTTAAGCACGACGCTATCTTTCAAATAATGTTGACAACAGATATTTGTATCGACGTTAACACTTGCACATTTCTGCGTTGTTTTCTAAAACGATGTCCTTTTTGACGATATGAAACTTCCAGATATTAATGATCTGACAGCAACATTTGTTCTAAAAGTGAGCGATCTGAACGAAATAATTAAACACGCCTTTATTTACATCATAGGGACGTAAACTCTGCTTTTTACAGATACGTACTTTTTTTTGCCCTGGTTAAGGGTAACTTCGAAACGTCAGGTTTTCCAAATTAGATTCGATACTGCGGTTGACTCAGCTATATCAACTTCAAGTTAGTAATAAACTAAGAGTTTCATGCCGTGCAAGAGTCTTTTCACAAACTCATCATTTTGTTTCTACAGATATAGACGAATGTCGGCTTCTTCCAGGACGCTGTGAGAACGGCGCATGCCAGAACACTCGTGGATCATACCGCTGTACCTGTAACAAAGGATTCGAGGGCACAGTGGATCAAAACGTTTGCAAAGGTCCGTATATGGCGAGAAACGTCCTTCTTTATCATGGTGTTAAAATGCTCGCTAAATTATGCTATATTGCGTGGAAATTTAATCACAATGTCACATTATAGTCTTGTAATTGAATATCCCTGTAACTAAGTAATTAATTATGAGGTCAATTTAAGTAGAGTGTGAACTGTTATATTTATAGATATCGATGAGTGTAAACAAGATAATATATGCAAGAACGGTCGTTGTATGAACGAGCCAGGAACCTTTAAATGTGTTTGTGACCGTGGATTCACTCCAAGTTCAGATGGCAAGGCTTGTCTAGGTAAGATCGCAGGTCTTCTGCTGTTGGTTTCTTACATCTACCTATATCGACAGTCAAACCTCCGGTTGCGACCACCTCTCCTCAGCGACTAGTTTTCTAAAATACCAAAAGTTTCCCAGTCTAATCAATATATTTGAAACCTCTTGTAAGCGACCGCGAGCTAAAAGTTTGAAATTTTCTTTTGTTTTTAACCTCTCGTAAGCGACCAATTGATTTAATTTGGTCTTAGCTCTCGTAAATGGCGGCCACCTCCCGTAAGCGACCACCTAGGCCTGACATTTTGGTGGTCGCTTACGGGAGGTTCGACTGTATTTCGTATTCTTTCTACTAAGCAGACATTTTTAGGGGTCTATCTTAAGTGGAGTGTTATTGAATAGTAAAATCGTCTGATTATAAGTAGCAATTTAACGAGAAAGATGCAAGTTCTTTTGTTATGAGCTTGACACAAAGAAGGGGAGTCGAACTTATATATAACCCTCGTTTCACAAGTGAAATGATATAACCACTCAACTACAGGAAAACTCATGGCGAGTAAGGCCATTGCTAGGTCCATAAGTAACACGCGTCCTGCATACTGCTAAGATCGACAATGTGATATTGTTTATTCCTTGTGGAAGCATAGAAAGAAAGATGGTAATTTTCACTTTCAATTAAGCTACGTCACTTTTTTGCGCATCTTGAAAAGTTTAGCCTAAATTTCTCAGGTTCGTCGTTTGTAATCCGTAATAATCTCCATCCTTAACCATCCTCGGCCCTTTATGGTTTATTATTATCTCTTTTATGTTTTTTCATCTTAGTAAACAGCTATCTTCAGGTTTTCTTCAATTTAAAGGTAATTTTATTCAAGGCCAAAATAACTCAAAAGGCCGTGACTGAGTGAGTTCTATGAAATTTTGGAATTTCGTGTTTCATTCTCCAGATACAACACTTGGTCGCTGCTACGCGAAGGTGGAGGGAAGCAGATGTTCAGAGCCGCTAATGAGATTTTTAACATTATCGCAGTGCTGTTGTGGAATGGAGAATGGAGGCCAGAGGGGATGGGACGATCCTTGTACTCCTTGTCCACTCAAGGGCACGGGTAGGCTATAATGAGCTGTTCGTCTCTTCATTCAGGAGGAGTAGCGATAGTTCTACTTTAGTAGCCCCACGTTACAGGCAGGCAAGTTAAGCCCTGGTGCTTTCTGGCATCTGGCATCACCCGACGAAGATAGAGGACCGGCATAAAAAACTAGCTAAGGCTGCTTTGGCTTCCTCTCTAGATATTGTAATTTAATTTATTGTTATTTTACTCCTAAACTCGTTAATTATTCAAGTTTAAATAAAGGAAATCATGACCGTGACGGTTTTTGGATATCTGATCTTAATTAGCATATATTTTCGTACGATTTCATTTCTCCGTTTTCTCCTTAGTTTTAGTTTCGATTGAGAAGATATTTGAGCTAGTGATGTGTCAAACACGATAGACAGTGTTTGACCACATCACTAACTCAAATTTCGCCAAAATCATTCTGCTTCGCGTCGTATTTTCAACTCTCTTCTCGGTGTTCGGAAATGTGGTCAAACAGGGTCTTTCGTGTTTGATATGTTAATTGAAAAAAAGATTATCATAATGAAAGAAGCCAAAGAGAACAATTTTGTTGTCGTATGGCACAATCAGCCTTTACATGTGAAGCGATAGTTAGCATGCATTGATAGTGGTGCTTTTTTTCCCTCAGCGAGATACAATCGTGTCTGCTGTAAGGGACCTGGGATGACCTGCGGTGGAGAAGGTAAGGAAAGACTGGTAACTATTTACCAGGCAGTCAGAGTGATGTGTGTCTTGATAACTGCATATGAGACAGAAGCTCACTTACTCATACTCTTTAAAAAACTTGGAAGGGGTAACCAACGTTTTTCAATAGGAATAGACTACAAGAAGATTTCCATTCTTTGCGTACCGCTGCGCAGATATTACGATAACACGACGACGAAACTGTCTTGCAGTCTAAATTGGTATCAGTGGCGGTGTAAACTGCAGAAAACGTATTTTTCTTCTCTAGCCGAGAAAACAAACCATATTTTGATTTTTGTGCTATTTCTTCAGATGTGGATGAATGTGTGAATAACGCTGGGATGAAGAAGGACGTGTGCACAAATGGACAATGTCAAAACACCATGAAGGATTACATTTGTGTTTGTAATGCAGGCTTCAGGAGTGATGTCACTAAGAAGCTATGCAACGGTAAGATAGGTTTGCGTTGTTAGATTTTGTTTCAGCCCTCAGTGTTCTTTCGGACAGATCTGTCAGAAAACAGGCTGACGACAGACAGACCGACAGAAAAGCAGCAGAACAGGCAATCAGGAAGACAGATAGGTAGATAGACAGACAGGCCGACAAGAAGCTGGAGGTACTGTAGCCTGGTGTCCAACGTGCTGGAATCAAGATGTTCGTTTTGCGTTGTTGGGTAATCTACTTTTCTCTCACAGGCCTCTCTCCAACAAGGCTTATAGATCGGCAACAGCAAATTTTGTCGAAACTTAGAAGATAAGGTGGAGAGAACCTTGGATGGGTAGCATTAACCTGATAGCAAATGGATATGATTTTCTGATATACATTTGCTACAACTGAACATCACCCAAGAACGGAGATTATTCAGACTATCATTAATCTGTTATAATCAGAACTTGTTGATAGATTTTGGCTTTTTCTTGGAATTACCTTTTAAAAAGCTTCTAAAAGGCAGCATGGTTAGTGGCTGGTATGAAGCTGGAACTTGTTAGTTTAAATCCCCTTTCCTGCTACTAGCTGGATGTTACGAAAAATTGTGTAAGTCAATTTCTAGAACAATCTAGAACCGGAAGTCATTCAGCCGTAACCAATTTGTATGAGAACATTCCAGTACATTCTGATCCTTATGTAATTACTCAGATTAGAAACTGTGTCAAACTACTTAATTTAGCTCCTAATAGAAGTTTCTAGAACTTAAAGCCTCATGTATATTAGGGCGAGAGTTTCTTCTGTAAGGGAAATTGATTCAAATTTGAAGAAGCTTAGTGCTGTAAATTTGTGAAGCTATCTTGTTGCTGTTACCGGCGATCCTGAGTTCTGTCTGGAAGCAACCCTGCTCTACAACGATACTCGTAACACTGGATTTATGTTTTTCTTTAAGTCTGCAATCGAGCTTAGTGGCCCATAGCTTTTCCCAATGCTGATCTCCCGCTCGGTAAATAACATCTCTATGAAAACAGTGGAATAAACAGTCACACTTATTTTCAATCCTTTTTGTGTTTGGTAGATATTGATGAATGCAGAGAGGACCCTCGCCTCTGTCAAGGTGGAATCTGTCAAAACATACCAGGAGCTTTCTCCTGTGATTGTCCAAAAGGCTTCCAACTAAATAGAACATCAAGAATCTGCCAAGGTAATACGTTGATTATTCATAATCCATGTTGCTATGCTTCTGTTCAGTAATTAATCACAGAAGAATACAAATTTTAGTTCTGACATGTTTCTCGTTCTCTTGCAGACATTGATGAATGTGCCTTTGAGGGGCAATGTATCGACGGAACTTGTATAAACTCCCCTGGGAATTTCCGTTGTCAGTGTCCCCCAAATTACAAACTCGACACATCAGGCAGGATTTGTAAAGGTAACTTNCACCGAAAACTTACCCGATAACTGAGATTTCAGCTCCGCTATCCTGATCCTCTTATTTACACATGGCATCATTTTGGTTTGTTGTGTTTGGTTCGATGAAAGTCTCTTTGTTTGAAGTTTTACAACAGTCATAAGATGCGGCTACAAAGTGCTAAAAAGGAGACTTTATTTACTGATTAACGTGATTTCTAATTTTTTTTAAGATGAACGTTGTGCTATAGGATATGCCATTCAGGACGAGCCCCGATGCACAGGTAACAAAACTGATTACTCAGAAACAAAAAAAGAAATCCCTTACTAAAGAGAATAAGATGGGCTTGGGGATCTCTTAAGAACCGTTGCTAGGTAACTTAATGTTACGTGCACCTTGCAGACGAAGCAAATTTTAACAACTCGTGTCGTTGCCTCTTCCACGGCAATTTACCAAAAATTTGTTCTTCGTCAAAGTTCGCACTTATTAAACGTATCTTAGGTTATTCAACAAAAGCACCTAACTCGTTTTTCTTACGAAAACCGTGAAGATAAAAGCTTAAATGCTTTCAGTTGATTTTTAAATTTAAGAGAAGATAACTCTTTTTTCCTCTCTTTTTTTTCCCAATCGAGTCACAATTCTTTCCTTTCAAGGGTCTTGACAGCCAAACTTCCGCAGCTCATAATTTGGTCTGTTGATACTGAATAAAATACGAATATTTTAAGTAAACCTGAAAAATAGTCACTATGTGACCAACCGAGACCTCTATGTAACAAGCATTAGTATAAATGTGCTAGCGTTCTATCACGAATGTCGTTCTCTGATTGGCTGCGCCACTCACTATCTAATTTGTTGTAGATAGTGGGGGCCTAGCAACGTGCGTGTGCCATCAAAATGGCGGCTGCTTCTTCGCGTTTCGAAGTGTCTGTGAAGAGAATTTTGATAAAGTTTTGAACGACTTGTAGATCTATATGCGCCCTGGTCAACTATCACGCGATAGAAATCGTTAGCGAAAATTCTAATTGTTAAATATAAAGTTACGTTGTGGTGATTTCTTGTCAGATATTGACGAGTGTACTCAGTTTCCTGGCTTGTGCAACAATGGGATTTGTCGTAACACTCTTGGCAGTTTTGCCTGTGAATGTTCAGAAGGCCTCACTTTGGACGCGACACAACGAAACTGTGTGGGTAAGTTAACGAACTCTCAAGATGTTCTCGTTCTTTCGTTTTATGTTTATGGACCAATCAACTCCGTGTCGGTCTATAAAGATNTTATTCAACAAAAGCACCTAACTCGTTTTTCTTACGAAAACCGTGAAGATAAAAGCTTAAATGCTTTCAGTTGATTTTTAAATTTAAGAGAAGATAACTCTTTTTTCCTCTCTTTTTTTTTTTTTCCAATCGAGTCACAATTCTTTCCTTTCAAGGGTCTTGACAGCCAAACTTCTGCAGCTCATAATTTGGTCTGTTGATACAGAATAAAATACGAATATTTTAAGTAAACCTGAAAAATAGTCACTATGTGACCAACCGAGACCACTATGTAACAAGCATTAGTATAAATGTGCTAGCGTTCTATCACGAATGCCGTTCTCTGATTGGCTGCGCTACTCACTATCTAATTTGTTGTAGATAGTGGGGGCCTAGCAACGTGCGTGTGTCATCAAAACGGCGGCTGCTTCTTCGCGTTTTCGAAGTGTCTGTGACGAGAATTTTGAAAAAGTTTTGAATGACTTGTAGATCTATATGGGCCCTGGTCAACTATCATGCGATAGAAATCGTGAGCGAAAATTCTAATTGTTAAATATAAAGTTACGTTGTNCGAGCTGTAAGGGACTATTTAAATTCAAAAACCTGAAAAAAAAAAATAAAAGAAACGAACTTGGCCAATGTCAGGCCATCTTGACCTTACGCTTGGTTAATAACCCATCTACAGTCGAACTTCTCTTAAGCGGCCACCTATTAAACGGCCACCCCTATTAGGCGGCCAGTAATCAAAGGCCCGATGAGGGCTTTTCTGTCGTTTTTACCTCTATTAAGAGTTAAACTCTTTTCTTATGGAAACACTTTCGTCTGTTTCAATAAAATCGCTTGGTATTGGTTGCTGGCCACTTGATTGAAAACGGTCTCTATATAGGGGACGCAACTTTAAACAAATTTCTGTTGTTGCTAATTTAGATCTTCGTGAAGACGTCTGCTATGGTTCTGTGACCTCTAGTGGCTGCGACAAACCTTACGGCGGACGCTACAAGAAAGTCGACTGCTGTTGCTCCGTGGTAGGCGGCGGCTGGGGTAATCCGTGCCAGGAATGTCCGCTGGAAAACACAGGTAACACCAACAGAAAATTCCAATCAGTTTTAAGTCACTCTTTTCCCAGCAATTTTAGCCTGAGCCTGCGAGCAGGCTCACGTTTGGCGCCTCTTAACCAGACTCCTACCCGCAGGAACGAATTGCTCACGGACTCGCTCTTCGCCGACCGCGCGTGTGACTCAAAGGAGAGGTTGCCCGCAGACTACAACAATTTACAATTTGTGATGTTTTGCCTTAACTACCCCACCTTGAAGAGTTTGTCCGCTCCATCTGGCGAGAGATAGTGGGAAATTGTGAATTTAAAATAGCTTTCACCAAGCACAATTGCTTTCAAGAGAAAATACTTCCATTTTTAAGGCTGGAGATTGCCGCTTGATCTCGACTAATGCAGTTTGTAAAAAGAAATGTCAACGATATGGTAGTGTATTATTGTATGTTGTTTGTTGTTTCATTTAGACGAATTTGAAGCCCTTTGCGGCAATCGAAAGAAGGGATTCAAGATTGTGGAAACTTTGACCGGACCACGAGTTCAAGGTTTGTATTTTTTTCTGTCTGGAAGTAGTAATATTTAATGTAAGCGTGGATTAAAGCCAGCAATCAGTGACATGTTTTTAAAACAACGAAATAACATATTCTCAAATCATAGCACGCACACCTTTATCCTGATCACCTGACTACATGACAATTTAGTAATGCTATATTTTAAGTCTCTCGATTAGCACGGTAACCCAATCTTCTTCTGCTTCTTCTTCTTCTTCTTCTTCTTCTTCTTCTTCTTCTTCTTCTTCTTCTTCTTCTTCTTNCAGGGAGGATTCCAATGTGAATGCAAACAAGGATATGCTCTGGATGACGCAGGAAAGGACTGCTTAGGTAGCCAATAAAAAACGTGTCATGACTCTCAAGCTTCCATATCTTATCGTGGAGAAAGGCATCAAGTCTTTCTTGTGGGAAGGGTTTTTGCGAGAACGATTGCCCATAGAGCTTTAGTCCATGGAGCATTCAGAGTCTTAATCAGGCTGTAATTCACCTAGCAAAAGTCGATCCCCTTTTTTACTGTTGTTGTGCTTCAGGTGCTGGAGACCTTGAGCAATGACGACGGCGACGCCAGAGGCGACGCCTAGCCAAAAAGGGATTTATATTTTACCTTCGAATTTCGTAACTAATGACCTCAATCTGCGCAGAACTTCGGAACGTCTGAAAGCCAGCTCAAATTAAATACGTAATGCCAGCGATCAATTCCAAAACGAAAAGCGAAACGTTTGCCTTCGGGGCCTGCGTTGTCCAAAATACGCAAAACTTGGTCGTTTCACGTTGTGGTTTTGCAAAGGACGGCAAAGAAATGTACAAAGATTTATAATTTAGAGCGCGGTGGCCTAATAGTGATAGCGCTGGGTTCTGGATCGAATAGTCTGGGTTCTAGCCCTGGCCGGACTCACTGCGTTGTGTTTTTGACTCAGGAGTATAATTAAGACCAGTTAACTGCCTTGAGCACCCTGAACCCTGACAGAATACTAGTGGGGTAACCCTGCGATGGACTAACATCTCATCCATGGGGTTCAGAAGCAATACTCCTGTCCGCCTCAACCAACAATTATGCTTAAGAGTCTTTTTTTTTTTCAGATATTGATGAATGTCGTATCTCGTCCGACTTGTGTGGTAATGGTACCTGCACCAATATTGCTGGCAGTTTCCGATGTGACTGCTTCACAGGATTTGAGAATGCTCCCATGATGATGGAGGTCTGTGTGGGTGAGTGAACAAAATGGTTAAATTCTCTTCCTAGGTATATGGGGTGTTTATGATGAGTACATTTAAACACTACCCTGGGATCACGAAACTAAATGACTGAGGCGAGTGTCTTGGTTGCCTCATACTGACTACAGCCCTGAATGTGACATGAATAAATAAGATAAATAGTACGTAGGACACCCTGTAAGAGATTTTAACGTAATAACAGTAGTAAATTTGTAAAGTGCCGTTCCTTAAATAATGACCCAAAAGCCATACCACAGAATTCCAATTCTTTCCAATTCTGCCACATTTTTTGCAAGAAGACTGTTATCTGGGGCTTGAGTTCTCCTGTGTAGGGGTCTCTTGAAGAGGAGTGGATTCTCCTTGGTCGACGGGGTTATCTCGGAGTATGCTCTTCTTGGTCGTGCAGAATTCTCTGATGGAGGTAGTATACAGGACATAGGTTTTTTTTCTTGGGTGGATTCTCTTAAGGAGAATCAAGAGAAACAGGAAAATGGGTTCTGTTGTGAAGTAGTTCGTTCATCAGGAGGAATTACTTGCGAAAGAAGATGCTATGTTGGAAAGCTATTCTTTTTGATAATGCTCCGGCTCTTTAGCAAGGCGCTTTCTCTATGGACTATCGATAGTGCAAAGGAGTGGTCTTTTCTTTGAAATGTCATTCGTTTTAATCGACCCCAATGTTGAGGAAAACTGTTTATTTTTCTTTCAGACACCGACGAATGTGAGAATAATCCATGTGCAGATGGCACATGTGTGAACACTGTGGGAAGCTACAAGTGTATTTGTCCAAACGGCATGGAGCTCATGAAGGATGGCGTCACTTGTGAAGGCTAGTAGCAATCTCAAAACACCAACACTCCTTACAGATTTTCTTACTTGTGTTTTAATTGTGATTCTGATAAAGTGGTGGCACATCAAGACAACTTCCCCAAATTGTCACTTGAGCGAAGTTTTGGGAGGGGGTGGGGAGGGTAAAGGAGATAGCATGGACCTGCTACGTAAGTTAAAATGATCAGACGGTGAGACAAAATGTACTGAACTAACGAACGGAAAGCCCAGGTAGTTAACAGAGACATTCCTCCGACATTAGACACCACTAGACACTACTAGACACAGTTAGACGCAATTTGACACAACTAGTCGACACAACTTTGAACTAGACCCAACTACACACAACTAGACACAACTAAACACATCTAGACACAAACTAGACACAACTAAACACAACTAGACACAAACTAGACACAACTAAACACAACTAGACACAAACTAGACANAACTAGACACAAAGTCGACACAACTAGACACAAACTAGACACAAAGTAGACACAACTAGACACAACTAGACACAAACTAGACACAAACTAGACACAACTAGACACACACTAGACACAACTAGACACAACTAGACACACACTAGACACAACTAGACACGACTAGACACAACTTGACGCAACTAGGCACAACTAGACACAACTAGCAAGTCGCTACTTATCCACGTACTCTTTAATTTTCTTTTTTCCAGACAAAAATGAGTGTTCTGATCCAAGCAGGTGTCTTCATGGTGTTTGTCAAAACTATGGTGGAGGTTATCAGTGTTCGTGTAACCCTGGTTTCGTGGTCACGGAGGACATGAAAGACTGTGTCGGTCAGTATCACAATACAATTTTTCTTATCAGGTTATAATGTGTTGTTGTTGTTTGAGTTACGCTTCGTCTCTCCCCACTGACCGTGACAAGCGATTCGTGACGACTCGCAAAAGGGATTATAAAGGAAATAAAAACTGAAGGCGTGGGAATGCTTACTAAACATTGACACCATAGCAACACTCTACCCTTAAACTTTAACAATGTGGCGTGCAAATGCTTTTTTATGTCTCACTTACCCCTTTCAATCTTGAATCATTTGTAGATGAGTACTGTCTGTGCTATATCTTTGAGAGCTCAACATTTAACCTCTTCCAGGCGTTTAGTTAGTTGGGGCGCAGCACGAAAAACAGCGCGGGAAGAAATAAAAAAACGTCTCGCCGCGTTTTTGTTTTTTTTCATTTTTCCGCGCGCCGTTTTCGCGATGCGCTCCAACTCACTGAGAGCCTGGAAGAGGCTACTCAACATTGGGAAGGGAAGGCGGTAGAGGAATACATTTGATAGCTGTGCCAAAACGGATGAAAGTCACGGCTTTTTGTGTCAAGAAGTGCGTCAANCCTTACGCGGCATTTTCAGTACCAATTTATTCAGCCAAATATCTTAAAAAAAAACTGTACATCTTTCTCCCAATTTTTTCTAGCTAACATAACGTAACGGTGATTTGGCCATGAGCAATGATTGAAAACTATACTTTCATCGTAAAAGAAAGTTCTCTATACTTTATTCTTTTCCAGATGTAGACGAATGTCAAAATGACCCTCAATTGTGTAGTAATGGCGTTTGTCGTAACACTCCTGGCTCGTTTGAGTGTCTGTGTGGTGTTGGATACGTCCTGGCCAAAGGAACAACTGCCTGTATTGGTAAGCCATTACTGTCCCATACGTGACAATTAGCGTTAGACCGACAGCCCTACCTATGTCGTTTCGAGTTTCGTGAATCACCGACGTCATATTCGTGTTCATTCGTCTGTAAGCAGGGATTGCGATGAATCCCGACGTCTTTTCGTCTTCGTTTGACGGTAACATGGACTAACGATGAATCGCTGACTTCAATTTGTGTTCGTTCGTTGTTTTCACGTGCTGAATCCATGACGTCATATTCGTGTTCATTCGTCTGCTTCGCGAACGGTCATGAAATTCCCGACGTCCTTTCGAGTTCGTTCGTCGATAACACGGACTATGAAGTTAAATACAGTATGCGGCACCCTTTCGTGAGCATTTGCCGATTCTCACGAACTATACCGTTCAATCGCCGAAGATTTTTCGTGGCGCCGTCGCGATCGTCGGAACGAACCCCGAAGGCCCTGCTTCTGTTCTCAGGTTCTGCTTTAGAAGGTTTTGCGGTGTACTCTGTTCTTAAGCGATCTGAATGTTTCTCTTTAGATGTGGATGAGTGTGAAATAGACCTGGCCCAGTGCGGTGGAAATGCTTACTGTACCAACACCATAGGCAGCTTCCTTTGCACTTGTAAACCGGGATTCGCTGGAAGCGATAATGAGTGCATCGGTGAGTACATACAACATATGAGAAGTCACTCGTCTACTTTATTGTTTAAGCTGCTAAGGTTATTGCTGTTATTTTTGGTTGTTAATTATATTTATGGTGGTTACTGAAAGTAATATTGTCAAAATTATGCTATGATGAACGTTGTGTATCAATAAGGGCGTTGAACGGCGTTGTGTGTGTTTGTTTTGTTTTGTGTTGTGTTAGCTTGCGTCGCATAGCGTTAAGTTACGTTGTCCCGGCTCTATTACGTTTCGTTGTGTTGTTTTGCGTTATGTTGTGCTGTGGTGTGTTACTTTGTATTGTGCAGCATTGCTTTGTATTACTGTGTTGTGTTTCTATACATTTCGTTTAAGGTTTCAACTTCAAAGCTTGACGTGTATAGCAACAATTTTCATATGTGGCAATCTGCAACGCAGCCTTTTGATAATGTTCTCGTACCTCACTGTTCAGATATCGACGAATGTACTACAGGCGCTGCCCAGTGTCACTATAATGCCACGTGTGTCAACATCCCAGGCTCTTTCAGCTGTGTTTGTGAGCCAGGTTACACAGGAGATGGCATAATCTGTAATGGTAAGTTATGTCAGTATTGTTTTTATTGGAAAATTCTTATTCTCTTTAAATGTTAATAACGTACGCACTGAAATTTTGTGTCGTTGTGTTAGTCAATTGATTTTGTATTACGATATATGTTTTTCTTGCATTTTGGTCAATAATGTTCTAAAGATGTGCCCGTAAGATTTGTTTGTTGGTTTTTAGATATAGACGAGTGTCTTAATGAGGACAGTCTCTGCGAACACGGACAGTGTACCAACAAGGCTGGCTCTTATGAATGCGAGTGTGAGATTGGCTACATACCAGCTGACGATAAAAAGAGTTGTGTCGGTAAGACTTTACTTCTTAACAGATTGTTCTGTAGTTTCCTTAAGGTCAGCATCCCTTTAAACTGGACACTCCCAAGACCACCTGTCAGAGATGTCAGATGTCATATGTCAGATGCCAGATGTCGTATGTCGTATATCAGATGTCATATGTCAGATGTCGTATGTCAGAGATGGTAGACATAGAGATGAATTTGCTTGAGATATGGTTTCGCCTATTGGAGGTTTCGGTGTACCTCAGAAAAAGGCCCACTTTGGAGAAGTTTTCATGATAGTCAGATTTCCGACACGGAGGCTTCCTACTCTAGGTAGGTTTCCTCCTTTAGAACTTTATAGACGTTTCTGTTTTAGAGAGATGTCCCTCTCAGAGAAGTGTTCGTGTAAGATAGGTGTTCACCCTGCAGAGATTTCCGCTTTTGAGAATTGCCTGCCCTAGAGTGATTTCCACCTTAGAGAGGTGCCCCCCCCCCCACAGAGTATCTGCATGTGTGCATGAGGTTGCCGAGTTCACCGAATTCTTCTTCATTCCTCTCTCTGCAGATATTGACGAGTGTCAAATGTTTCCCTTGTGTAAACATGGCCGTTGTGAAAACATGCCGGGAATGTTTCGTTGCATTTGCGATGACGGCTTTCAGCTGGATAAACAAGGAACAAACTGTACAGGTATGAGAAATTATCACCTTATGTGATATGTGGTTCAAATTGTGAGCTTACGCTAAGATAACACACCCATGCTGCGTTAATCTGTATGCGAAATATTGCTTTTAGCGCGATTTCATTTGAGTGTCGAAAAGTAATTGGTTTTGCGTCAACTACGCTACACGGCTGGCTTAAAAGAAAACTCTCGCCACTATTTCATTTAATCAGAAGTAAACCCGAGCCAGTTGTGACTCACTCGCACTTGTTTACCCGAGCTTCGCGTCAGCTACATGTCAAATACACTAATTTGCCCCCTAAGCATCCCATAATAGCTATTTGAAACAACAGAATTCAAAATGGCCGCCGTATCAACGAAAAGGTCCATTACTTCGAGTTTTAATTGGTTCACTGTATTGTCTGTGTCCTTTGTGATTGGCCAGATTGAAGACAGCTCTAATGTATCATCCATGTTTATTTGTCGCCAGATATCGATGAATGTTCCGTGACTGGGATGTGCATCAACGGTCGGTGCGTGAACGANCTGTCAGAGATGTCAGATGTCATATGTCAGATGCCAGATGTCGTATGTCGTATATCAGATGTCATATGTCAGATGTCGTATGTCAGAGATGTTAGACATAGAGATGAATTTGCTTGAGATATGTTTTCGCCTATTGGAGGTTTCGGTGTACCTCAGAAAAAGGCCCACTTTGGAGAAGTTTTCATGATAGTCAGATTTCCGACACGGAGGCTTCCTACTCTAGGGAGGTTTCCTCCTTTAGAACTTTATAGACGTTTCTGTTTTAGAGAGTTTTCAGAGAAGTGTTCGTGTAAGATAGGTGTTCACCTTGCAAAGATTTCCGCTTTCGAGAAGTGTCCGCCCTAGAATGATTTCTACCTTAGAGAGGTGCCCCCCCCTCCCAGAGAGTATCTGCATGTGTGCATGAGGTTGCTGAGTTCACCGAATTCTTCTTCTTTCCTCTCTCTGCAGATATTGACGAGTGTCAAATGTTTCCCTTGTGTAAACATGGCCGCTGTGAAAACATGCCGGGAATGTTTCGTTGCATTTGCGATGACGGCTTTCAGCTGGATAAACAAGGAACAAACTGTACAGGTATGAGAAATTATCACCTTATGTGATATGTGGTTCAAATTGTGAGCTTACGCTAAGATAACACACCCATGCTGCGTTAATCTGTATGCGAAATATTGCTTTTAGCGCGATTTCATTTGAGTGTCGAAAAGTAATTGGTTTTGCGTCAACTACGCTACACGGCTGGCTTAAAAGAAAACTCTCGCCACTATTTCATTTAATCAGAAGTAAACCCGAGCCAGTTGTGACTCACTCGCACTTGTTTACCCGAGCTTCGCGTCAGCTACATGTCAAATACACTAATTTGCCCCCTAAGCATCCCATAATAGCTATTTGAAACAACAGAATTCAAAATGGCCGCCGTATCAACGAAAAGGTCCATTACTTCGAGTTTTAATTGGTTCACTGTATTGTCTGTGTCCTTTGTGATTGGCCAGATTGAAGACAGCTCTAATGTATCATCCATGTTTATTTGTCGCCAGATATCGATGAATGTTCCGTGACTGGGATGTGCATCAACGGTCGGTGCGTGAACGAGATGGGTACATACCGCTGTGAATGTNCCCCCCCCCCCACAGAGTATCTGCATGTGTGCATGAGGTTGCCGAGTTCACCGAATTCTTCTTCATTCCTCTCTCTGCAGATATTGACGAGTGTCAAATGTTTCCCTTGTGTAAACATGGCCGTTGTGAAAACATGCCGGGAATGTTTCGTTGCATTTGCGATGACGGCTTTCAACTGGATAAACAAGGAACAAACTGTACAGGTATGAGAAGGGGTCACCTTCTGTGGTTCTAATTCTGAAATTACACTAACATAACGCACTCTCTCTGCGTTAATCTCTATGTGCGAAATTGCTTTAAAGCTGTTTTCATTTGAATGTGTAAAAGTAATTGGTTTTGCATCAACTACGCTACACGATTGGCTTAAAAAATTCCCGCCACTTTTTCATCCAATCAGAAGTAAAACAGAAACCAATTGTGACTCGCTCGCACAGGTTTTCCCGCGCTTCGCTTCAGCTGCATGTCAAATACACTTATTTGTCCCCTGAGCATCCCATAATAGCTATTTGAAACAATAGAATTCAAAATGGCCGCCGTATCGCCGAAAAGGTCCATTACTTCGAGTTTTAATTGGTTCACTGTATTGTCTGTGTCCTTTGTGATTGACCAGGGTGAAAACTGCTCTATTGTTTCATCCTTATTTATTTGTCGCCAGATATCGATGAATGTTCCGTGACTGGGATGTGCATCAACGGTCGGTGCGTGAACGANGTCAAATGTTTCCCTTGTGTAAACATGGCCGTTGTGAAAACATGCCGGGAATGTTTCGTTGCATTTGCGATGACGGCTTTCAGCTGGATAAACAAGGAACAAACTGTACAGGTATGAGAAATTATCACCTTATGTGATATGTGGTTCAAATTGTGAGCTTACGCTAAGATAACACACCCATGCTGCGTTAATCTGTATGCGAAATATTGCTTTTAGCGCGATTTCATTTGAGTGTCGAAAAGTAATTGGTTTTGCGTCAACTACGCTACACGGCTGGCTTAAAAGAAAACTCTCGCCACTATTTCATTTAATCAGAAGTAAACCCGAGCCAGTTGTGACTCACTCGCACTTGTTTACCCGAGCTTCGCGTCAGCTACATGTCAAATACACTAATTTGCCCCCTAAGCATCCCATAATAGCTATTTGAAACAACAGAATTCAAAATGGCCGCCGTATCAACGAAAAGGTCCATTACTTCGAGTTTTAATTGGTTCACTGTATTGTCTGTGTCCTTTGTGATTGGCCAGATTGAAGACAGCTCTAATGTATCATCCATGTTTATTTGTCGCCAGATATCGATGAATGTTCCGTGACTGGGATGTGCATCAACGGTCGGTGCGTGAACGAGATGGGTACATACCGCTGTGAATGTGACGGCGACTTCATTCCTAATCCCGAAGGCACAGGATGCATTGGTAACTGATTTACACTGTTGCATACGGAAGGGGGGCGGGGGGCGATACTCCCTGTAATGGCCAATACGGGTAGGCTCAACCCGAAAGGGGAATCTTTTTCAGGCTTCAGGTATATAAAAGGGTAGGCATTTCACAAGTTGAGGTATATGAAAAGATAGAAAAATCTGTCATTTACTATAGTTATTTAAAAGGGCCTTTAATTGAAATACTTCGAACAGGCGCACCTTATGGCTGTATCGTTCCATTCATTGGACATTATGAAAATAACAAGGACATTTCCTTTATTGGTGAATTATTGATAATACGGAACAGTTATGAAAATATGTGAAGGGGGTACTTTTTTTAATTAAGGGTATACGAAAGGGCTTCCTTTTCTGTTAAAACGGTATACCGACAAAAGAGTAAGGGGTTGTACCTCGGAGTGCCCCCCCCCCCTGCATAGAACTTGGTAGAGTACCCCCCGGGGTTTGCATACCTATAAAGTGAAAATGTTGTGACACTCCGCTGAAACGCGAGAAGTCTTTTTTGATTCCTCTCCGTTTTGCAGACATGCGCAAAGGCCAGTGTCATTTGAGTGTTGTGAACGACACGTGTGTGAACCCGCTGCCATCAGCTTACCGCGCTGTTTGCTGTTGTACGTCAGGAAAGGCCTGGGGAGAGCCATGCGAACCGTGTCCTCAGAAAGGAACTGGTGAGATTAGAATTAAACATTCAATAAAATATTTGTCACGTAATTTGCTGACATATAACGATAACTAGCTCCTTCAGATACAAATCTGAACAAAGATTGGCCTCTTACCCTTGCTAGCCACTACATCGTATTTATCAGTCTAGATCTACAGTCTTACACTTATGAAATTCATGGCGAGGACGCATTTGGCTAAATGTTTTGACAATCCACGTACATAAAAATAAAGTTTATTGCTCACTTTGGGTCAGTTTGCGTTGCAGGTCTGGTAACGTGGAATTTCTTTATAATGTTTCTCCTTTTTTTTTTCTTCTCTTAAAATTGTTATAGTTTTTGTGCTAAAAATTGATGGAACATAAACATTACCTACTTTTTTACAATTTAAAAACAACGCTCCCATTTGAAAGCTTTTGATTACTGTTTGTTTGCCTTTCTTTTTTGTTGAGTTTTCACTTCTATTCTCCTTCACTGTGATGATGTACGTCTTAATTTCTTTGTTTTTCAGAGGAGTTTCTTCGTCTCTGTCCCGGTGGAATAGGATTTGTTCCTGATCCATACACTCTTGTCATTAAAGGTAGGTTCTTTATAACTTGCTTTATGTCTTTAAATTGTTGTAGTTTTATTTCTTAGCTTGTTGTCTTGCTTGTTTGCTATAGATGTCGATGAATGCCAGGAACTTCCAGGAGTTTGTAGTCAAGGACGGTGTATAAACACACTTGGAAGTTTCAACTGCTTCTGTCCTCAAGGATTCAAACACGACATTACAACTGGAAAATGCATCGGTATGTTTAACTATCTATTGGTAGGTTGAAGGCCTTTGTTCATAAATGTTCGCCATTTTTGTTTGCAAAGGGACGCTCTTAATTCTTCCCTCGCTACAGTTAAGTCCCTGAACTCTCCCTACCCCATCCTTAAAAGTCTTGGACGCCCCTTTTTGGAGAGGGGTAGGGAGCAAGACTGTACTATCCCCACTCGCCAGAGATTTGAGACAAGATCTGAAAAATTTTATACTGATCACGTGGTTCTACGTAGGTCCTTGTACTATCTGTGATTGGTTGTTGCTTGGTTACAAATTTTCGCGCGCAAGTATTAACCAATCATAGACAGAAGGAAACCGGCGAGCGGTACAGGCTATCCCCTTAATTAAGTTATTTTAAAGAAAACGGACCTAGAATTTGTCGCGGTTTCGTCTTTTTTGACAAAATAGAACTCAAGGTCAAAAGTACAGATCGTATCTTACTTTTTTCTTAGATGTGGACGAGTGTAAAGACATTGCATTCATTTGTGGCCTGGACGGTATATGCATCAACAAGAATGGCAGTTACGATTGTGTGTGTCCCGAGGGACAGAAACCAAACCCGAAGGACAAGCGCTGTGAAGGTAGGTAGCCATGTTGAACCGGTCTGAAAACGCCGATCAGATACCTGCATTTGGTTACAGTAATGTTTTTTCATATCACACAGACATGCGACAACAGCAATGTTTCATGGACGTGGAAGGCGAGACGACTTCCAAACCAGTTTGTAAGGGCCAGTTTTCAAAGAACGTGACGCGGACTGACTGTTGTTGCACTGGAGTGGGTGTGGCATACGGCTCTGAGTGTAGACTGTGCCCCAAGGGAAAAACAAGTAAGATTCAACATCAAAATTCTCTTTACCGTTCTCTTTACATGTCCTATAGTACAAGTTAGGAGAATTTAGCTGTTTATCAAGTCAATTGCTCATTTTTGCTGATTTTCTGTAATCTCCTTGCCCACATACTTGACTTTGTATTGCAACTGAGAGGAGAAAATAGATTTGATAGTTACCTGGTCTGAACTGTCAATAGCACATGTGCCTTGTAGCACGCGTTTTGATTAGTTCTTTTGACAATTTTGATTTTAGCTTCGTTTTACCTCGGACCAGTCTCGACAGGATTGATTTTCTAAGGTTTCTCTGCTGTGCAATTTCCGGCTAATTTGACTACCGTAGTTATCAATTGGCAAGGGTATGAGTAAACCTCAATAAAGATGCCACAATCGTTACTTAAATCGTCACGCAACACTTTGGAATCGAACAAAAGTGTTGCGTGACAACATAGATAAAGGATGTGGAAGATACCAATCTAGCCTGAGATTTGCTGTTTCTTTCCTGCAGTCGAGTGGGTAGCCTTATGCCTGGGTGTGAAGTTTGTAACGCCAACTACAAGTGTACTAGTAACCCCATCCTCACCTGACCCCCCTGAGGTCGTTCACCCCAACGGAACAATATTTCCTGTTGGCACCACGACAACGCCAACCACCGCAGCCCCGCAAACTAGAGGTAATGTAATAACCAGGAAATATTACGCTTAACTTAATGACTATTCTAGATATTCCTAACAACTTTAAACAAAGGTGTAAATGCGTGACAGAAATTGTTGTCTGATGGTGCGTTACAACAGGGATGTGCGTGACTTGTTTTTGTTGTGTGACCATGCTAGCATTGGTGAAAATCAGAACAGTACCTTCCGCAGAGCAAGTAATCATGGTATGTTTTGTTGTTTTGGTTGCGGTGTCAGGTGAATTTGCGGTCAAGGCTTCTAACGGCCGAAATTCCGACTGTAGAATTATTGGGTCTAGCTAACTTGATATTCGATTCGCTCAGCCAANTTTCGGTAATTCAAAAGGCACTAGGCACTATGAACCTATTCTTAATTGGGCCCATCTTGGCTAAAATGGAAATGGTTATATTAGTCAGAGTCAAAATGGCTTTACTAGTTGGGCATTTTTGGTGGAAGCAAAACGGCTCCATTAATAGGAGCTTAGACGGCCCTAAATTGGAGCCAACTAGACTTGAACGGAAATAGGTCTACCAGTTTGAGTCAAAATGGCTCTAGTGATGGGGGCTGATACGCACCAAGGGGCTGAATTATTGTACACGGTCGGCCAAATCAGTTTTTGGTGGGGCAGAAAGGGTTTTTATTGGGGTCGATATAGACCAAATTAACAAAATGGCCCCTCGAGGGGTCAAATCAGCCCCAGGGCCCAAAGAGCTAAATCAGCACTTTTGAATTTAGCCCATGTAGCAAATATCATTTGAAAGCTCTTGATCTGAGTATCCCAAAAATCCCATTATCAACCACTAGGGAAGTGATAACTTTTAAAAATGATGATTTGAAAAAACGGAACGACAAAAAACCCAAAATAGTCAAAATCTCCGTATTTATATTAGTTATAACCCTAAACTGTATCTTTTCTCACAGCTTTCGATCAATATGTTAATATCAAATGCATTAGAGGCCCATAATGTTTGAAGAAAAAAGTTGCAAAACTTCTAGAGCAAGTGAAATATATCGTTTGTAGGGGGTTCACAATTGAGTAGTACAAGTTCATTTTGGTGCAAAAATGTCATCAAAATCACACAGATTCAAACCACACTCTGTCGTCAGAAGCACACGGTTCTGATCAACAATTTTTCTTGATTTTTTTCTCTATTCCTGAAAGATACAGAAAGGTCGATATAATATATCAAACACGAAAGACTGTGTTTGAGCACATTTCGAAACACCGAGAAGAGAAATGAAACGCAACTCGTAGCGGAATATTTCTGACGAACTTCGAGGTGAAAGGAATTATTGTCAAAGGATGACACAGCATTTATAGACAACCGAGCTTGCGTGCATGGATCACTCAAGTGAAACTGCTAATTAATGATTTTACTAGCTGACATATTCATAGAGTCATAAATGTGTATTCTTCAGCAGTCAGTTTAACCCTCTGGCTCTTCAACAAACACGAATCGAATTTGATGTCAAGCTAAAAGATCATAAAGATCCTTTTGATGTAACTTTGGTGGTGAAAGATGGAAAGGAGTTTCAGGCTCATAGAAGCGTCCTTTCGCAAGCCAGCAGCTTCTTTGAAACTAACTATCTGATACGGTCTGATCATTAATTTTTCTTGATTTTTCTTTTCTCAGTGCTTTTTNTTACTTTCGGGGAGCCGTTATTTTCGGGGGGGGGGGGGGGGGGGGGAGGATTTGTATTTTTTTTCTCAAAGTCTACGAATATCCTTGTTGCTAGAACATACGGAATTGTCTATGTAATATATCGAGCACGAAGGACTGTGTTTGACTTCGTTTCGAAACAGCGAGAAGAGAAATATAAATGCGACGCGTAGCGGAGTATTTTTGACAAACTTTGAAGTGTTTGGAACTGTTGTTAAATCACTGTCTTGAGTGTTTGATATATCTTCAATTAAAGCTAAAGAGAAACCGGAAAAATAAATGCTATTTAAGATCGGACATCCAAATACTGTCATGGTCGTGATCTCCGCTGTTTAAACTTAAAGAATTGCTGATGAGTCTAGGTTGCTCAAAGTTACAGCGAGTTGTGGCATACGTTTCATAATGTGTATTTTATTTTTGAAGGTTCAGATCAAGAGATTTGTGAAATACTTTGTTTATATATAGTTAGTTTGTTTCCTCGTAAATCTAACTTGACCTATGCCTTTGTTGTATAGTTTTATTGTAATAAAATGAGTTCAGAAGTGTTTGCCGGAATTTCAACTTATCAAAGCCTTTGTATTCATTAAGCTTTATGGGGATCGGTAGAAAGTACATCTACTTGTTCAAATGGGGGTAAACGTTTATCAAACTTGGTGTTATCATCCTATTACCATACTATCACACTGACGTTATAAAAGTGTCCTTATCACGAGATCCGCACAATAGAGATTTCTTTCTCAAACTGAAAAAGTCGAGCAACCAGAGATAGGTGCCTACCTGATGGGCCATCAGGTTTGAACGCTGTCTTTACTTTACTTTCAATTGTTGTGACTATTTATAAATAATTAATATCACTACTGGCCATCAGAGCTAGTTGATATTGCTCATCTAAGGATGAAACAACATTTATACACAAGCGAGCGTGCGTACATGGATCACTTAAACGAAACAGTGCTAATTAAGGATATCAGATGCTGACAGATTCATAGAGCGATGAATGTGTTTTCTTCAGGAGTCAGGTTAACTCTCTGGCTCTTCAACAAACATGAATCGGCTTGATGTCAAGCTAAAAGATCATAAAGATCCTAGTGATGTAACTTTGGTGGTGAAAGATGGAAAGGAGTTTCAGGCTCATAGAAGCGTCCTTTCGCAGGCGAGCAGCTTCTTTGAAAAGCTCCTCAACAGCGACATGAAAGAGAATAACGAAGGATTTATTCGGCTGGAGATGGTAACAGAGTCTCGGATGGCAGACATCCTGGAGTTTACTTACACCGGTAGCGTTCAGATATTCAATATAGAAAATGCCGAGAATCTGTTTGAGTTAGCAGATTATCTTCTCCTACTAAACCTGAAAGCTATCGGCGCAAAAAATATCTTGAGGAACACATCACCACATTGAATTGCCTTCCAATTTACTACCTTGCAGAAAAATATTTGCGTCAAGACCTGATCGATATCTGATAATTCATCCACTCAAACTTTTCTTCCGCCGCTGAATCCGACGATTTTCTAAACTTCTCAAGCCATGCGGTTGGATTTCCAGCGATGTGATAGCCATTAGTGCTGAAGAAAAGGTTTTTGAACTCGTTCTACGATGGATTGATTATGACAAGCGCCAACGACGCGTAAAATTTCGTGACTTGTTCCGTCACGTTCGACTGACTTGTATATCGCGTGACTTTATGGCGAGCAATGTCGTGACTAATGATCTTGTGACAGAAGATGGAGAGTGCCTTGAACGTGTTTTTCTTGCGGAAATATGGCTTGACCGATCAACAGTTTGCGACGTTCCACGGTCACACCCTCCCAGGAGGGCTCTGGAGAGAGATGTTATCGTTGTCATGGTTTGTGCTAACAAACCTCTTAATTTCCTCACCAACTTTTACCTTCCTTTAACGGAACAGTGGTACCGCTTGCCATCGACCTCATGCGAACCAACGCGCGTATTTTCGCATCGAGGCAAAGTATTCGTTGTGACTGAACATTTCGCCAGATCGCAATGCTATGACCCTGATTTAAACCGCTGGTCTCCAGCACCGTGGACAAGACTAGATACAAACCCAGCATTCATGAAATTAGATCGCACATCTAGTCAGTTACCACGGACCAGGTCTGTTTTCTTGTAGAAGAAAGGGTGGAGTCTTCCCTTGCGCTTTGGAAATACAACGTTGATTTGAATTTAATGACTCCTTTGTTTGACTGGGTTTAAAAGAAAAAAAAATTTTTGCGCCGTAGTTGTTGACAAGTTGATATATGTTATTAGGGGAACTATGCTCAAAGATACTTATCCTTATCGTTGGAATTTTTTACCAAGGAGTGTACTCTGTCACTCTACAACCTTTGACATCGAGGGAAACGAATGGAAGGAAATAGCGCCTTTGAAAGAGGCCAAGGGAGATGCTTGTGGTGTCAGTAAAAATAACGAATAGATTTTCATTGCTGGAGGAATCGGTTGCGATGACTGGCTGAATAGTTGTGAAGTTTACAACATAGCGACGAATGAATGGCAGTTCATAGCCAGCTTCACAGTGCCTCGGGCCTTCGGAAAAATGGTGTTGATTGATGAAACCATCTACTTCCTTGGAGTTCGTTTTAAATTGCCCTTCCAAATTCCTTGCGATTTTCCTGACGGCAAGATGGCTGTAGAATGCTACGATGAGGAGACAGACATATGGAATGACAGAACAACAACGCCCATTGACAAGATATGTCTCAGGGGAAGGTCGTTTCGGCTTGGTCGTGAATTTGTTTTCACGATTTGCTCACTGAGACTTTTAAAGGTGTTGAATTTAATAACTTGCAATGCAGTTATGATCGTTGATTTGTCTTGACTTGATTTGTTTTGAAGATTTCTATTTTTTTTCTCAGATTTATGGAAGATTTCTATCACTGAAAGGTTCAGAATTGTCGATGGCTGTCTGACGGTCACAGACAGTTAATATCGGCATGAGTTTCCTCATGTTTATTCTATTTTAGAACTCTTAGATTTGTGAAATACTTTGATGTACAGTACGGTTGTATTCTCATATATCCATCTTAAACTATACCACTGTTGTGTCGTTTTATTGCAATAAAATTTCAGCTTATCAAAGCTTTTGTCTTCAATTTGCTCTTATTGACCGAGCGGGAGGTCTGTATGGGAGAATTTTGACCGAGGTCGCGAGTACAGACCGAACGCAGTGAGGTCTGTACACACGACCGAGGTCAAGATTCTCTCGTGCAGACTGACTAAGCTCGGTTAAGAAGATGTTTATTATATTGCAAACTGGAAATATGTATTTCGTATAATGAAACTGGTTTGCTGACATTTTGCTTGGGAACGGCGAGGCGCTGAACTAAAATCTGCCAAAGTTTGCTCGTCCTCTTGACTCTTTTTTCTCGTCAGGCTTTCGGGCACTTCCACTTATATTTTAGACGAAAATAGTCTATATTTTTGTATTTTAGTTTGCAACTTTTTCACCGGTAAACTGAATCTAACCGGTCTAGATACCGGTCTAGATGGGAAAGTCTAGACCGCGGCCAATGTCGATTTCAGCCAATCAGATTCGTGAATTCGGTAGTTCCCAGTCCTTGTGAAACGTAGCCATACAATAAATATGGATTATTGACCAAGCGTGAGGTCAAGATAGCTGGATATTGGCCAACTTGACCGGACAAGCTTGTCCATCAAAGGATTTATTATTGAAACAAAGAACACTATTTTCTTGCGGGACACAGCGAGTAAGCCCGAGCGGACAAGATAGCGCCATCTTGCCCGCTCGGGTAGCCAATCACAGCGCAGGGTTCGGTTCATCTTGCCTGCTCTCG